CCCCCGCCACTCTCCTCCACGACCGAGGCCGGGTTTTGATTTGGCGCATACGTGCGAGCCCGCACCCATGAATCCCAGCTACAATATGCCGCCCTATGGCGGCCACACCATGCCCACGACGCCCTATCCCCCGATGTACGGCCATCCGGCCGGGACATCAACCATGCCCTCGGCGCAGGTCCCCTATGCGCCGGCCATGCCCTCGGCGCAGCCCCCCTACGCTGCGGCGCCGCTCCCAGTGCAGCCGCCCTATGCCCCGGCACAGCCTCCGGCCCAATCCTCCTATGCCCCGGTGCAGGCCTCCGCTCCGGACAACAAACTGAAGCCCGAGCAGGCGTCTCGACTGGTCCGCCTGGTTCGTTCCCTGCCAGCCCCCCCCCCCCCCCGGCTGTCCACCTCCTCTGCTGATGGCGCTCGTTTGGAATTAACGCACACGCCTCTTCCGCATGCGCATCCTCACGTGCGTAGTACAACTACGACATCCTCAGTAATCTTGAGCGCCTTCTCGCCCGCTTTCCCCACCTGGGTATTCAGTTTAAGCCCAACCGTACGTTTCGCCCTGCCACCTGCCCATCGCGCGGCTCGATCGATGTGCGCTGCCGCTTGCCGCCTGTCAACTCACGCTCCACGATGCCGTCTCGCTGGAAATCAGACCAAAACGAGGAGTGCTGCGTCATCCAGGGCTATATTCTCTATCGCTTCCGCGACCGCAATTACCAGGCCCCGGTCTATGTCTGGCTTCCGAAGGAGTGCGTCCTCCCGGCTCTCCTTCCTGAACATGCTCGCCAAGTGGCCGCGCCTGCTTTCGGCGGATGCCCCCTGACTCATACACCGATTCCCCCCCCCCGCTCCATCTCCAAACTCGTCGGGGCAGTATTGACCGGGACAAGGGGAGGGCGATGCCCCTTGTCGGGCGAAGGGGGCGGGGGGGGGGGGGGGGTCCCGGGCGGCCCCATCCGTGTCTGAGTGATTGGGACCCGACTGGGGCTAAAGGCCCCGGGGCTGCGCGGATGGAGGGGCGAGGCGAGGGCGACTGCCAGCGGGCAGCATTCCCCCGGAAGCAGCGGGTTGAAGTGGATCATGGCTCCGTATAATTGTGACTTGCGGTATCATGTGCCGGCAGCCGGATCTTGGCCACCCAAACATCCCCACATTTCGAAGGACCGGCAGCCCGAGCGCGGGGCCTCCCCCACGAAGCCCCGCCGGTGTGCTGGCAAGCACGGATATGACCGCGGCACGGAGAGCGGGTCGCCCTCGGCCGCTTACCGGATTGAGCAGCATCCAGCTCCGACACGGGGTCCGCGTCGCGCCCAGGGTACGCCCCTTGGAGCCTGCCTCCACGGGCAGGCTGGGGCGGGGGCGGGGGGGCGGGGGCGGGGGGG